ATACCACAGCACAGTGCATGTGGAAGTGTTTGTACATAGACCACTACAGCAGAATTTGAAAATGACAATAGCCAGGGATACTCTTAATACTTACCTTGAGGATGAAAAAGTTGCTTTTGCTGTTTTTGTAGATCTGATAGGATTTGAAACCTGAAAGCTGGCTTTGTATTACTTTATTGAAAAATCAACAAAACATTGGTTTTAAAACTACCAGTGCTTAGAAGTTAAAAGCTGGTGTCTAAAGAAGTAGGAGAGTGTAGACCCAGGGAGGTGAAGAGGGGGCTGCTGGGCACCAGAGGTGAGGGTCTGTTCTTAGGGAGATGTCTGTATGCTCCATGCAGCTCCACTGGCATTTCCTGACGTTTTCAAATGTGGGCCTTAGTGTGGACATGAAGCTCTGTATGCAGAGATAGCAAAATCTTTCATAAGCCTACCATAGCTTTTTGTTAATTATGATTCCATACACTTACGTTCTCTTCTCCAAGTTTATAACTATAGCAGCTTTTGTTTTGCAGAATTGTCATGAGAAAGAGCAGGTGTGCGTGTACACAAGTATGTGTGTAATGACGTATCAGGCTGACATCTGAGCCCTCTTGCTTTTTCTTCACTGGTAGCTTGTTGCTTTATTCTAATGCTTTCTTTTCTGTCCCCCTCTGCTTCTTGCTTTGTGTCTTCTCTTTCCTAATTATCTTTTAAAAATCTATTTTGGATTCCACAACTCTTGTCTTCAGATTTGCATCTGTAGTAGGAGGTGTAAGTGGAGTATTGCATGCATCAACCCTTGATTAAAAAAAAAAATAAGCCTCAAACTCTTAGGAGACAAAATTTCCTAATGAAACATTTTAATTTTCACAAACTAAAATTTTTGTTGTTGGCTTTAAGATATTTTTTCCTTAACAAATACATGGACTATATCACTGCAGTCAAGGCTAACCCAGCTCATACTTTGCATAATAGGAGATGCGGTGAATAATGGTTAAGAATTTGAGTTTGGAGGTAGAAAAATATGGATCTGAAAATATGATGCTCCATTTACTTCTTATGGCCTGTGCAGTTGCATAACTGTGTCAGTGTCAGTTCTTGCCCCTATGAAATAGGGATAATAATAGACTCTAGCTTCTAGAGTGGCTATTTTATTCAGGATTAATGCATGTAAATTACTTGATGAATGTTAGACAGAAATAAGCAATGCGATTCTTGTGTAAGATGAAGTAAACGTGGTTTTGGGGGTTCACTTCTCTGCCTGCATTCATACTTAACAGCTGCCCAACTGGATTTCTAATTACCACTTTCCAGCCTCCCTGCCCTCATCCCAGATGGCAGCACCATCTATAATGGTGTTTCCTGTGTGGTTTATCCCATTATCTTCCATTTATCCACCAGAATATTTCTTAATGAGTGTGCCCCAAATGCCAAAGCAGGAGATTGCCCTTTAATCCAGAGTGCACTGTTACTCAGTCTGGGCATGTGGACAGGGGCTCTGGCTTCTAGTAAAGTGCAGCAAGAGGCCCTGGCTTGGCCACAGCCGAGAACCAAGCTTCCCCATTGTACTTGAGTTCAAGTTTCCAGTGCGGACTTCAACAGGCGATTTCTAAGACATGATGAGTCTACATTTGCTCTGTTTGTTGGTAATAAAATTAAGCAGCAATGTATTTTTGTTTGTCTCCCAAATAGAATAGCGTTCCTGGAGGGTAGATTGGGAGGGTGCCTGGGAATTCCACAGGCTTGCCTGGGGTGTGAGGGGTGAGCAGAAGAAAACCCTGCGCATCATCCGTTGTCAGCAGATACGAGTGCATGCATGTGGTTGTGAATCATGGTCTTGATGAAATGTTAACAAATGAAACAAGGCTATTGCTCAGGCTGGAAAAGGAGTATGACGTAATTGCTGCTGGTGGTATCTAGTGACCTCCTGCTGCCTGGGGCATGGGATTAGCACATCCGTCTTAATGGCACATCTGCTGTCTTACACGGATGCAGTTATAGTGCCTCCTGAGCTATCAGCTTGTTCCCTGAAGTTACGCTTTTAAATTATAACCAGAAAAACTGTTTCCAAATGCGTACCGTATATCTAATGAGTGGCTTTTACTTGTACTTTTTCTGTCTGAAACAGATCCTATATACTGGCTTAAAGAGTTCCCCAATACTAGCTTTACAGTTCTTGAGAACCCTGTCCCATGAGCTGTTTTCTTTTCCTTACCTACTTCCTGGGTGGTAGGCTGGGCTGGATAGTAACCCCTCGTCAAGCCACTGGAACCTGACAATTAAGTGATCTGTCCTCAGCTACAACTCTGTCACTGCTCAAATCCAGATCTTTCAATCCTTTCATCTGTCATCTTTTGCACAGTACAATGGTGTGTCTAGATTTTTTAATATCTTGTATTGAAGTGGAAATTGATAATTGCCTAGAAATATCACCAGATTGTCAAAAATTAGATTGTCATCTTTGAGTTTTGATTAAGGCTTTTTAGTCTTCCAACTGATTATTAGTTCCATAAGGTAAGATAAATTATAATCTGCCTAGATGAGATGCAGAATCAATGGTTTATTCTAGTATTTTTATAGTGCAATGGAAATTTTCTAGAACAAATGTGCGTGTGTGTGTGTGTGTGGTTTTTCTAGATGATTCCGGTGAGGCTTTGTCATCAGAGTGTCAGAGGCAGGAAAAATTTTCTAGGGAGCTAGAACCTGTGCCATGATACTTGCTCTGCTCCTCTTCTCTCTCTGGGTTTTATGGTCCAGTCATGTTGCTATGTGCTCCGTGGCCTCCTTGTGCATGTCTTTATATTTGCAATGGCTGACATTGCATTAGAATCACTTGGGAATATTTAAAAATTCTGTTTTAATTGTTCTTGGGAAGACCTGTGATCTAGCTGTCGGGGCCACATGGGGAAGAAAAGCGGGAGGGCATCGAGATTAACTGTGGACTCCGACAGCCCTCATGCTTTCCAGTCACATTCCTCGGGGTAGATAGTTGACTTGCACAGTAACCACTTTTTGGCTTTTCTTTGTAGTTTTTCTACCTCTGTATCCCAAAATAATATGGTTGAGTTTTCACTTTTTAAAAATTTCATGTGTGTGTGTGTATTTATTTATTTATATATAAAGAAACTTCCTACTAATTGAAACATTTTGTGTATTTTGTGACTTTTACACTCTATATTTCTTAGTTTCTTGAATGTGAATCTGGAATTCATTTGTGTCATTTCAGTAGATAGGTTATAATAGAATGTATTCTTTTGTTGATAGGTTTTAAGATTACTTCTATGATCATTTTGTATCATGTAGGTGGTGAGGGGTCGATGGAGAATGTAGCTCTCACTAGGGCTTATATGTAGGAATGGACATTAGTTTCTTTAAATGTATTAGATGGTGCCACTGTGTTTTTCACATTGGTTGTACCAACTTAAAAACACTTCTTCTAGCAGTGACTATGTGTTCCCTGGGGATTAAGTTATTTTTCATCCTTCCAACACAAGCTTTCGGCTAATTTGAAGGCACAACCAGACCTTATGTATCTCTCATAATGGTGCTGAATTTGGATTAAATAGTAAATAAAAATCACTACTTAGGAACAACCCAAACTCTCAGGCCTCCGATGTTCTGGAAGGCCTCCTGACATGTGCTGCCTTTCACTTATCCTTTGTCACCAAAAAGAGCAGGAAGCTGGGGGTCCTTCATGTGAGTGCCTTACTTCACAGGCAAAGAAGCCTGGCCTGGGGTGAGAGACACTGGCTTTGAGCCTCTTTCCCTCTCTGGGGCTAATGAGTCTCCCTTTGTTCTGTGCTGGGAATGTTGATTGAACCACACAGCCTGTTCATGTCTTTTTCTTATGTCTGGGTGATCTTGCTCCTTGGATTTTACAGGTCACATCTCTAATGTTTGCTATTAGAGTGATTATTAATAATACTATTGTTAGTTCAAATCATTCCTAGTACCAAAGAAGAGACATATTTATCTGGTTAGAAAAAAAGATTTCATTTTAATTAAACACCCCCACCTCTGCCAAACTGTATCACCCTTTCCCACAATTTGTTTTCCTGACTACAGTTGAGAATCTGAAACTCTATAATGAGCAGACTTATTTATATATGTCACAATGTTTTCTGTTTCAAACTGTTAGCCTTATTTTCTTCTCTGAAATTTCACACTGCACAAGAAAGCTCTCTCAAAACTTTTTAGGCAGCTTTTTCTTTTCTTCAAACATCAGAAGAGCCTTTCTTTTCCTCTTTCCCATCTCCCCAGTAGGCTGTTAGATTCTGAGCCAATGAGGACAGGAGAGTGTCAACAATGAGGGGTTCAGTCCCACATTCAGTTCAGTTTGCTGTCTTCTGCCCCTGGAGAGGGGCTGAGGGTGGAGCCAGAAAGGAGGAGCAGACCTGGACTAGCCAAAAGCATTGGGAAATGATGTCTCACACATCAACCTGCTGAGGGGCACGTTGGAGCCTGTAGACCACACGCAGGAGGTAGGGGGTCAACACATTGCCCAGGTACTGCTGGGAGACCTCTAGGAAAGGCCCACACAAGCCAGCTTACGTATCTTGGACTTACCAAGTTCAGTTTCGTCCCAGCCCTTCTTCAGGAGAGCAGCCCTGAGGATCCAGGGTGGAAACTGCCACCTTCACAGGCGTGGGCCCTGAGGGCTGCCTTGTTGGAGGGGCAGTGGCATCTATTTCTAGGGGATGAGCTGTTCCTGGCCCTGTTTTCACTGGTTGACTTACTGTACCTGAGTGTAATAAAGGTGATGTGAGTCTGCTCTGTGGGGGAGCGGGAAAGCACATTAACCAGTGGTGATGGGCCTGGCTCCAGCACCTGCAGCAGCTGGCCTTGGGCAGGTCACATGCTTCCTCATCAATTAAATGAGATGTTGAGATGTTTGGCTTAGGTGCTTCTGCTGATTCCACTGATGTTACATCTAAATACATGATTTCTGACTTAAAAAATGTATGAGGCAGATTTTGTTGTAAATGGAGGAACTCACATCCATTTTCCTTTCTTTCCAGTATCTTTACACAGAGAATCTCTTCTACACCTGGCTGTGAGATGGGGCCTTGCCAAGCTTTCCCAGTTCCTCTTGTGTCTCCCTGGGGGAGTGGAGGCCTTGGCTTTACCCAATGAAGAGGGTGCCACCCCACTGGATTTAGCTGTGTACTGTGGGCACTCCAAGCTGGTAGAAGACATCACCAAGTGAGTTTCATCATTTCTCTCTTTACCTGTTTCTAGCATCTGATCCAAGCACTTATGGGAAGATTGAAATATCCTCACCACCAGTTAATATTATGTTTTATCATTCGTTCTCATGTGAAAGCTCAGTGTGACAATGAGATCCTGAAGGGTGACTTCTTTATCTTGGATAGTTTTGTGGCTCTTGCTGAGTGGGGAGCAGAACAGGCAGATCAAGGAAGTACACTGCTGAAGGGGAGCAGCAGGCAGGTCAGGAGAGATCTGCCATATCATGTGGGCACCTCCTGGGCTGGGAATCGAACTTGCACTGAAGCGGCTGCAGCCAGCTTGCAGTGCTATGTCCTAACCTGTTGTGCCACCAGGGATGGCCAGCTTTCAAAGTTTGATGCTCACTACACCCATTCATAGGTGGCATTAGACGAGGACTCTATGCCGTATTCTGATTGAATGCATGAGCTTCCGTTCTCTAAATGAGTAACAATGGTAATATTGATTAGATGCAGTGATTTTCATTGGCATTGGGAGTTCTGAAAGATTCTGGAGCCCTTGCTAGTAAGTAGTGTCGAGACTTTGAGGAGATGCTGCAAATCTTAGCATACAAATGCTGTTTATGGCTATCCTTTTATCACTCCGTATGATGGAGATAACGTTTATTCAATTTGAAGTATAATATATTTATTAACCAAATGAGGTCATGGACGAAGAAGAGCGAGGCCGAGAGCTAGTTCTGTGAAGGGAGGTATCTGGGAGCAGACTGGGGAGAAGTGACACATGCCTTGGTGGGCTGTTTTCTGGCAGCACTAACATTGTCCTCCCAAGGCTTCTTTACTGTTGTTATTATGATTTTATAATTCATCCACAGTATTGTGATGCTAACCAGGAAGTCTACATATTGCTAGTACATGTGCATTTGTTTTTAGCCAAAATAGCACGGAAAATAAGCTTTTCTTCTAGAATTTGGCTTGGGGATGTGGTTCCTTTGTTCATAAGTATATTCAACAATTGATTTTATGCGTGTTTTAATCTGCATGAGAAAATGTTTTACAGCAGTGGATCAGTGTGTTTTGGATCAGTGTTTTGAATATCTCACTTGTTTATAATAACCAACCCTTACCACACTCCCTAGAGATCATATCTGTTTTCCTAATAATCACCTAATTAACCGTTGGTAGCCAGATAATTTATTCTACTGCATTTGGCCACGTTAAAGCAAGCGGCATCTTTTCAGACTAAAAGGAGAATGAACTATTATGTTTTATTAGTTATATAAATCTTTAAGATACGTAATATATGCGAGTGGCTTTTGCAGTTGACATCTCTAGGTGAAAAGAAAGAAGGCTTCATTAGGTTTTGTTTACATGATCTTAAATATATTTGTCAGTAAGTGGCTTTCAAGAGAGCATTTGTCTGGTTGGATCTGAGTAAATATTGGGCATTGAGGGGCCTGGGATCTTAGGGCAGGTGTCTGAGGCTGTGAGTGAGTTTTATTTGTGCCATTTCAGTTTCCAGAGCAGGCGATCCCCCGGCTTCTCCCGGGTCCAGCTTAGTGATGACGCCTTCCTGCAGTATACTCATTCGTCGGAGACGCTGACCCTGACCTTGAACCACACGGCGGTGCATCTGTTGGAGGCAGATATTAAACTCTTCAGGAAATACTTTTGGGACAGAGCCTTTCTTGTCAAGGTTTGTGCTCATTCTGGGTGGAGAAAAGCTTCATGATCCTTGGTGGTACAGCAGCCTCTCATTGTTTCAGGAATCATTTAGGGTAGTAGCACTTTGTTTTCTGGTGGAACTTTGGGGGACGTAGATCTGAAAGTGTCACATTAGTAGCGCGAAGATTATTATAAAATATGTGGCAGTATCAAACCGTAATGTGTAGGACCTTGTTTCCTATACTTCTTGAGAATCAGTTCTACTGTGGTGGGGTCTTAATCTTCTAATACTGGAGATGTTCCTTCGATTTTCTGACTGGATTATAAATTTTATAAAGCAGTTGTATTTAGTAATTTCACAGGTACTTCTGGGCTTCTTCCAGTTTAAATGCTAATTAAGGCTTTGCTCGAGTTCAGTCTTCTGGGACATAGACTGGGCATTTGAAGCCAGTTCCTTTTCAGAGAGGTTTCCCCCTCTTCCACCATGAGTCAGACACCAGCTCTGAGTGGTAACATGGTCTCCCCATACGGGGCTTTAAATGTTTCTTCATCACTGTTCTATTATTTATTTATTTATTTTAGAATTGGAAGAACATAAAGAAAAATTTTAGAATGGAAATTTCAAACTTCTCTTTCACTGTTGAGCAAAATGTTATGTAGAAAGGCTTGAGTCTCCCCATATTGGGCTTTAAATGTTTCTTCACCACTGTTCTATTATTTATTTTTTTAGAATTGGAAGAGCATAAAGAAAATTTTAGAATGGAAATTTCAAAATTTTCTTTCAATATTGAGCAAAATGTTATTTTGTGTAGAAAGGCTTGAGTCAGTTTTGCTGACAGGGCTCAGGGGCATAAGGTTTCACTCACTGGTCCTGTGACCTGCTGTTCTCCAGCACACCTGTTAGAAAGACACAGGTTCATGACTGTGAGGCTTTCTAGACAGCTGACATTGACATTTATCCCAGCTTTGGCTTTTGTAAAATGTTTACTTCATCTAATTAAGGTTAAGATAATGAAAATATTATGTATGGAATAAAGATAATTGTTGATTTTTTTTTAAGATTTATTTATTTTATGCATCCAGAACTGGGGTACAGGCCAGAGGTGCAGGGGTATGAAAGGATTCACCAGAGACAGAGTGGGGAACAGAACAGGCAGATCAACGAGGTACACTGCTGAGACGAGCAGCGGGCGGGTCAGGAGAGGTCTGCCACGCCATGTGGATCACCTCGAGGTTCGAACTCGCACTGAAGTGGCTAGCTTGCAGTGCTGCATCCTAGCCCGCTGCACCACCAGGGAGGGCCCTGTTGATTATCTTTTCATGGGCTTTAGGAAATTTCATGCTTCCTTTCCTGGCACTCACCGTGTCCTCATTTTCCTTAAGGTTGCTTATTATTTAATGATGCTAAAGCTTTCGTCATCTCTATGGTTTCCCCACCAGGCCCTTGGGGAGATATTTGGGCAGAGGCTTGACCTGGCGGAAAACCTTAAATGTGGTGCACCCCATTCCTGCAGCTCCCTCAGGGTGTGGCACAGCAACTCGTGTCCTGAGAAGGGACTCAAGCACCAGCCTGGCAGCTGGTGACAAAACTCCTCAAGAGGGCAGAGCATGCTGTGTGCAGCAGACATTATTGAACATTTACTGCATTGTGAAGCCTTCCAGCTTGTTAGGTTGGATGTGTGAATTCTCTAACAAATTTGAAGTAGTACTGATGACCTTGGGGAGGAACTTGGATGAATCCATCTAGATGTTCCAATGATTTTTTTGTAGTGGACTTGACAGTAACAGTCCGAGTGGAGCTTGCTTCTAGTACCTCAGAGGTTTTCATTCTATGAAAAGAACTTGATAAAAGTAACTATTAGATTGGAATGGGTTAAAATGGAAAAAAGCTGTATTCCACAGTGTTGCAGTGTTTCGGCAACACTCCTGTTTCTTCCTACCCCAAGTTGTGTGACTGGGGAGTAAGCAGGGAGATTAGAAAGGGAATAAGGCCTGAGATTCTTCAGGAAATCCAGAGTCATTAATTGATGCCTGCCCTGGAAGATATTTCTATGGTATTCTTGACGTTAAGTTTTTTGGCAGTACTTCTCATTTGGTTAGATGATATTTTGAATGTGATCAGTTGGCAATTATTATTATAGATTATCCAACTGAAAGTTTGTAATTTGGAATAACAGATATGAGATTATGCATAAAGTGCTTGATGAAATCTTACTTGTTAAAAGGTTACCAGTCTAGAACGGTTATAGACAAGGACTTTAACGTGAGAGATTACTTGTTCTCACCAAAGCACTGCCCACCCTCAGTCTTGTCAAGGAGGCAGCTAGAGTCATTTTTCAGTGACCTGCAGCCTTCTAGAACAACAGTGAAACCTCGCACAGAAGCCAGAGTTTGCTTTACCACATAACAGAGATGTTTAAATGACTCCATTCAGAAGCTATACTTATTCATTTGCAAAGGATTAATGTTATTACCACTGCAGCTGTTACTGATGGACTGATAATTTGTGATAAATGCTAAATATTTAGAAAGGACAGGTTTGTGCTCAGTATCCACGTTGTAATATCAGATATTAGTAAATAATCTCAGTTTTAGCTGTTATCGCACTTTAGTTAGCTTCTCATAACAAAACCTTTTCTGTTAATGAGCATGCTGATAATTTACTTCTAGAATTTGGCTAATTTAAGTGTTCTAAAGTTACAGCCAAAATTAGGGGAATAAAGTGTAAGCTTTAATACACTTCCCTTACCAAAAAAAGGTCTTTCCTTATTTCAACTCTTTTTTGAAATCAGAAACCAGCATGGCCTGATCCTCTTTTCACATAGCTTTGGCAGTTATCCTCACTGAGGGACTAGGATTTGGGGTTAAGACTAACCCCATAAGTATATATGTGGGTTGCTGGTTGTCTCTGACCTTGAAACCTGATTGTGACTCCTCTTCCAGACCCTGTTTTGCCCTCTCCTCGGCATCTCCTGATACAGGTCTACTCATGTCCATCCCTCAGTTCCATGGGAGCTCTGGGGGAGAGAACACTGCCCTAGGGTAGAAGAGGGGGTTCAGTCATGGGGGGGTAGGTGACAGGGCACTTCTTGTTCCCCTCCCTTTGTGGCTTTGTGTTGTGTGTATTTTCATGCGCTTTTTGCTCTGGCCTCAGGATGCTCAGAAATCATCGGGAACAAGGCCCTTGACACACTGAACCTTACAACCTGCCCAAGGGAATGGGGAGTCTGTCAGTTTCCAGCCCACATTGAGCTACTAATTGGTTTTGGAACATGGGCTGCTATGATCCTGGCTGTTTTTACCATTGGACAAGTAAACACATAATTCTGTGTCTGTACATTTTTACTGTTTGTAAAGAATCAATTTGAAAATACAGAAAGCTCCAGGCAGGGCACCTCCTCTCTAGGTCAAGTCAGGGACAACCTACCAGCCAGCGCCCCCTCAAGGCTGAGGCACACTTGTGACCCCTGCGTTCTCTGGGTCTCCCTGCCCTCATCACCTTGGTCCCAAGAGCCCTTAAGTTGTCTCAGGGTGAGGCTTGGGTTTGTCCAAGTGGGCAGGTGCACCTTCTTTCAGTTTCAAGATTTCCTGTCTGTCCTTTTCTTTGGTTCCTGGCAACTTTCTGTTGACCACGGTATGGGAAAGTGGTGGCTGATTCAGTTTTGGCCCATGTCCGTGGGCTCCTCTGCTGTCGCCTATGTTATCCTGGGGCACAGTCTGTGTGTTCTTCCAGCAGCTTTAGCACATCTCCTTTCCTAACCTCCCCAGACCCTGTCTCTCACTTGTCTCAGAGACAGGGTAATTTTCATCTTTTGCTTGTAATTTTAATCGCTTTGTTGCATGTCTGAAGCTGCCAATGGTTTTCAGTGATTTCTTTTTTCTCGTCCTTTCCTTAGGCTCTTGAAGGACAAGAAGCCAAGCCAGAGGAAATACCAGATATGCCCTCCAGTGCTGCAGAAACCGAGGAAGGTACCTACATATGTTTGTTCCTTACTTGGGGAACCCAGAAGATACTCAGAACTGACTAGTTAATCTATCAGTTAGTAGTTGAAGTATGTGGTGAAGCAGAGCAGAAAAAAAGAGCTGAGAGGCAAGATCGAGGTTTTGGGATACTCTGAGGTCTCATTGAACCACATTGTTTTCACTGTTGTTCAACTAGTATGACTGGGTGCCCTTTGCCAGGCCTTCCAGCGTTGAGCCAGATGTTCCCCCATTCCTGATCTCAGGACACTTTCTTGGCTCAGATATTATTTTCATTCTCAAGTTCAGTTTGTTCATTCCATTCAGCCCTTTATCAGTCACTTGGCTTTTAGTTTGATCCACCTCTGTGGAACCGACTCTGTTGGCAAAGGTGGATACCTTTGGTAGTCTGGGGCGTACTAGACGTTCATTGAGGTGAAGGTTGGGGTGTCTAGATGTCAGCTATAGAGTCTTGCCAGCCCAGGCTGTGAACGCAGCTGTCCACAGTCCTGATGAAGTTTTAGAGACTGAAGGTATCTCCTGGAGGTGCAGTCTGTTTCCATAACTTTGTCACTCACTCCACCGTGTTCTAGGCTGTAGCTCTGCAGTCATGCTGAGTTCATGTACCGAAGCCCAGCCCGTTTGTAAGAGCATGGTACTTCCTTCTCCTGTCCAACTTGGCACTTTATCTATAAGGCCATACAAGCTCTACTTTAGTTCAGGTTCTGTACAACCCCCTGCTCCCCTGCCTTTCTATACACTAATAAGTCTGATCTATTGTTAGAAGTCCAAGTAGTGAATGAGAGTTTTTCTTCTAGGGAACATTCTTACCTCTGTTCTTGAATATTCCTATACTTTTCTTCTGAAATGGATTCTGATTTTCTTCTTTTACCCAAACTCAGTACTTAGAAGAACCCATAGTTTTGCTATGTTTTTTAAGGTAATTAAGGGTAAAGCTTTTATGTTTTGAAATACATATTATCTTCTTATCAATTACTTTCCTTTGGCTTTATATTTTAGAGTATTTTCATTCAAAAATTATATGTGAGGATAGGATTATGTAAGCTGGGGACAGTTATGCTGTCTGTGCATTTCATTTCAGGATAGGAGGAGTTCTTATAAGTTATCTATTAATATAAAAGAACAGATGTTTGACAGGGCTGAGAGCCACTGTACTAAATGCTGGGGTTACAGAGAAAACATAGACCCTTGTTCTTAAGCCACCAGAGTTGACATCTGTTTAGTATCATTGATTCTACTTTTAATTGGTAACCTAGAATAGCTGCATTGCAGCTATTCGTCAGGTTGTAAAATCTTGAACTCTTTGCCTATGTTTGTTAGAAAGTGTTCTTGGAGAGGGATGGTTTACGGCACTGTTGGGAGGCTGTGTGTCCTCCCGCAGCACAGACACACCTGGATTAATTCTTACAGCTGAACTATGTCCCCAACCCTCACCTCTGTGGCCCTCGGGAGGTGCTGCCCCGTGGGTGCTGTATGGGCAGTGTGAGGGAGCTGCATTCTCCCCTGCCTGCCCAACAAGGTGGAGGGTTACTTTACATTTTCTTCTTCAAAACCTGTAGGTGGAACCTCTTTCTGGTCATGTGTCAGGATTTCTGGCTTCCCCTGAGCCTTTGGCTGGATTTTACTGTTAAAAGTGTAACTGTTCAGGTTTCTTACTTCTGGTTGGCTGATAAAATACTTGAAGCTAAGATCCTGACCTTTCTATTGCAAATGTCTAGGGTATTGCTGACTGTACTTTTATAATAATTTTTAATTTAAACCTTTACCTCTTTTTTTTTTAATAAACCAGCTTCTGATTTTTACTTTATCATCCTGTATATTTTTCCTTCCTTGTAATCTACCTTTGAACTAAAGTAGAACAAACTAAATTAGAACTAATTTAGACTTTCAAGTTGTTGCTTTTGAGAGACTGACATTTGTGTGTGTGGGGTCAGAACAATAAGCCCTCCCAGCGTGCTCTGTGATTACAGGAGTCACATGCCAAGAGCACTGTGGGAATATTACAGAGTGTAGTGGTGGCCTGGTCGGGGCAAAGCCTGTGAAAGACATGGCTCTGGAGCTGTGATGCCATGAGGTGAAAAGCATTCGAGGCACAGAGGAAATAGATCTAACACAGAGACCTGACCTGGAGGATGTACTCATACAGATAACTGCAGGTCATTTTACTTCTTATTTTTTACACTTTAAAAGGACAGGTTTATTAGGAAAAGGAGCAAAAGAGAGGTACCTTCATAGTGAAAGGTGGGTGGGAGAGATGCTGAAGGTCATTTTATAGTCCTAGAGTAGAGGAGGATATGGGGGGTGGTGGGGGGAGAGAGTGAGTTCGTTAGTTGGGGGGCTTTTATACAAGGCAAGGAACTGGAGCTCCCCTGGGAGCTTTTTTAAGCAAGTTAGATGATTATTTTAGGAAGGTCCCTCTTTGAGTCTGGAGAATGAGTTGGAGTGCCCAGGGGGCTCTTTATAGTAATACAAAAGAGGATGCACACACTCTACAGTGTGCAGAGGCAGGAGAGAGAGGGACAGTTGGGTAACGCTCTGAAGGTCTAGGTGGGTGTAGGAAGTGAGGAAGGGTAATTCCTCCATTCCTGGCATGTCCCTGGGTAGGAGTAGAATTGTGACAAAATCACTGATTGTTCATGGATGAACTGGTGGTGGAAATTCTGTGGGGACTACACCTGGAAGAAGAATGCAAACATGGGGGAAAAATGAGCAATGATGTAAAATATAAATAAATAAAACAATTTTCAAAAAGCAAAAGCAGCAACGAAAACTACTTAGGTTTAGACAGGTTGAATTTATCAGGTTGAGAAAATTAATATGTTTGACAGTTGGACCTAAGTCACTCAACTGATAAGCAAAATAATTGAATAGAAACTGAAATATTCCAACTCTGAATCATTAATGTATAGGCATTGCACTTGTTTGAATACCCTTCAAGGGCATGCCAGAAACAGCAGAAGACAGTATTCAACTGAAATTAAGAATATGGGCTAATATGGACAAAGTTTGTCTATTCATGAGCTTAATGTAGACCCAACTGGAAGTTAGAATATTTTGATCATAAGAGCTTGCTTTTTTTAAACCAAAAGTCAAATTTCCCATTCAGGTCTACTAGAAGATTCTTAAAAATCATGGTTTTCTGTTCTGCTGGGGTCAGTGGGTAGAAGGGGAGCTCTAAACTTGTGTATGAAGTAGTTGTTTATTAAAAGACAGTAACAACTTTAGTCTGGAAATTTACTGTACTGTCTGTTAGTGTGATAAATGGTTTTATTATTGTCTGTGAACTAATTATGTTTCTCTAATTTCATGATTGTAATTGTACTCCCAGAACAATAGGAAGTTATTCCAAATGAATTAAATGGCCAAAAGGTCATCTCATTTTCAATATACTCAGATTAATAAGTAATTATTAGTATTGATTAATCTATCAACTGATTGTTTTATTTCTTTCCACCTTTGTCCTGCTTTGATCTCTTTCCCTAAGATTTCCTAAAGAGCATTACACAAAGTACCAACTCAGTCACAAGGATTATTTGGCCAAATAAGTAGAACATGATATATATCCCTTCTCCCCGCATTGGAGATTCAGAATGTGGTTAATGTTTTATAGATTCTAGTAAGTCTTCCCATCAAGCAACCTGTGTAACCATGTTTTACTTAATAATCCTCTAAATTAATTACAGAAGAATCCCCTTCCAGCATTTCCTGGAAGTGATCTATGGAGATACTTTGGGAAATGGTTCCTTTAACTCACTTCTGTGGATATTTCCTATCTGGGTTTTATTTCTTCTTTTCACTATCCATGGGTTTTCTCCATGTATTAGTACAGTAATGCTCACAAAGTGGTGGGGGAAGGGAGGAGAAGGAGAGGTGCTTTTAAAATGACTCATGGTCCCCTCAAATATTCAGATAACCCACAACTCCCCACAAAGTCCATTTAAATTCTTGATGTTGTTTGGGAAATTGCTTCCTGCCTAGAGTCTTTGAGGCCATAAGACAGTTGCAACATCCTTGAAGACTATATGAATTCATTTTCTTTCAAAGTTGTTTCTTAGTTAAAAAAAAAAAAGACACCCTGTGTATTTTCTGTCTTGACTTTTGTGTCACTAGTACCTTATAGTAGAACTTCTACCCATAAATTGTTTTCTACATTCCTATCAACTGGGCAATAAGGAGTTGGATTGGACACAGTTTCCCCCAGACTTAGAGGTCAAAACTGTTTCCTTGAGGACTGCAGGATCTTCTTTCTTGTGATTCCCTGGCCCCCCACCCTCCCGTGAGAGATGAAAGAGGCCCTGGAGCGAAATGCAGGATATAGTGTAGACAGGCAGACCGGAGTCCTGCTGGTTCACTTACTTTTCACTTACTTATCTGTTTAGTAAATATTTATCGAAGGATCAACCTTCTCTCCACCTATTGTTGCAAGCACTCTTGTAGGCACTGATGATGCAGAGTAACCAAGGCAAAAGAAGACCCTGCTCTCAAGGAGTTACGCATTTCCTCTTACTCTAGCATTTGTTGGGTATCCCCATGACAGGCTCTGCTCTGGGTGCTAGGGCTGCTGCAGCAGCTGAAGGAAGTGAGTCCAGTCACGGAGTACATAGTCCAGTGGTCATGAGAGAGACATTCTAGGGAGTCAGAACCCAATTTCCCCTATTTCATACATGAGGACATGGTAGCACAGAGAGGTGACAGCTTGCCTACTCATTCAGAACTCAGATTCATAGTTAACTGTGCCCGCTCCATTACAGACCACCTACCCACCACCCTCATTTAACAGTAGCCGTCTGGTTAACCTTTTGGTCTGCTCGTCCAGTTCTCTTTAGCATTTGTGTGATTGAAAGGTACAAGCAATGACATCATTGCCTTGAAATGAGCTCCCTTCCATATGGCAGCATGTCCCCTAGAGATCTTAGGGTGGGATAGTTGTGACTTGTATGCACAGATATGTCTGGAGGATACCAGGCAGCAATAAGCAGACTCCTCAA